GTGCACTGACAACTTCTGGGGCTATCACGTGTGGAGATGCTTGAAGGTGATACTGTAAGCTTCCCAATCATCAGGGTACCCGCGGCTGCTTTTGGTCTGATGTGGCCGACGACCAAAATCACAAAGGTCGGGTGCTTGTCCGCTGCCATCAGGAGGCATCACAATGGTGATGCAGCAACTTCTCAACTGTGGCTGTTGCATTTCGCAACCCCATCGAGCCAGTGCTGGTAGCGTTGGCGCCAGCCTGAAGGGCGGCCCGTCCCCCCCCTGGCGCCCCCGCCAGCATGCCGAAACGCTCAATTGCGCAGCAGACTGCTTGAAAATGTCAATCACTCGTAGCGTTCGGCACCCTTGCTTATACAGGTCCTGCAGTCCTCCCAGCTGATTGGTCATTGCCCCAGTCTTTTGCCCCGACGTCGGCAAGAGGATTCGCGATCTTGCAATTTTCTACAGCGCGCGCGCGCTTTGGAGGCGCCGTGTTTCAACATCCTTGTTGCGCCTACCCAGTCAGCGTGGGGCAGATCTAGCCAAAGGCAATGGTCCGCGCGTCCCTTGCTTAGAGTCGCCCCAACCCCAACCCTTCTGCTTGCGAAGTGGCGGTCACTATGGATGAGCTCAGCTGCCCGCTCTGCCACCAGGTGCGACGGGCTAGCGAGACCCGCTCGGGCTCGCGCAGTCAGCGGCCGCACCAGGCGCCTCACCATCGCGATGCCAAACGCATGCATAGACGCCCGCTTGCTCGCCATGGGCCTGCTGTACAAATCTGATGAGCGCTCAAGTTGGCCGCGTCACGCTTGGCTCGCTTGTTGTGCACCACCCGTCATGGGGAGTCTGACCTGAGCTGTGTGGCAGGCCGCCGGGTTCAACAGCCTGTCCCCCCACGTGCAATCAAATGCGTGTCTCTGCTTGCCGCGGTCACGGCCTCACTATGTACTGCCCATGCCCGACCCCACCACACGCCCGACGCCCCGGCCGACGCCTCGAAACGTAACCTGTACGCCAGGTGTTTGTCGAGCCCGTCGCGACCGCCTGCGACCACGCGTTCTGCGCGCCCTGCATCCACGCCTGGCTCGAATCGGGCGCCCACCGCGGCGAGGGAGGCGCCGCGCCCTGCCCGATCTGCCGGCGCGGCATCCACCTGCGCGCCCTCAAGCCCGCAGCCCAGCTGGTGAGCAACCCAGTCCGTCCGCCGCCGCCTGCTCCTCCAGTGATGACGTCGGTCGGACACCGCGGCCCCCATAGAGGCGCGCCGGCCCGTCCCGATGCGTCCCCCAACCAGGGCAGCTTGCCGCTGCGCCGCCGTTGGCACGCTCCTGTCCCAGGGGCCCCCGCGCCGCCGCGCACGTCTGCGCTCCGGCGTCTGCTCGCGCATTCGCCCTCGAAACGCGCGCCCCCGCCCTCCGCCCCCGCACTGTCAACGCCCCCATCCCCGCCGCCAGGCCGAAACCGTGATCGCCCGCCGCCCAGCCGAGCATGCCGCGCGCCTGGCCGAGCTGGGGCCGACCCTGGCCGCCCTCGCGCTGCGCCAGCGCGAGCGCCGCGCGCGGCTGCCATTCGGCAACCCCTTCTATGACGACGACGGCGACGATGACAGCGCTGCCGTGGCTGACGCCGGCGCCGGCGACGGCCGCCGCGGCAACCTCGTTGATTACGAGGCCGAGGCGGACGTCCTGGGGGGCCTGCTGTGGGGCTTTGTCTCGTTCCTGGGGGAGGTCGTGTTTGGGTCGTCGGCGATGGAGGGCTCGGGGCAC